TTGTTTTTTAAAAAGTAATAATATTGTATTTGTATTTACCTTTCAATTAATTGATCTAAATTCAAAGGAGAGGCTGTTACGATAGTAGCCATAAGCACAATCAAGAGAGCAAAGAAAATTTGACGCGAATTCATTTTTATATAGTGTTTGGATCTTTTTGTGATTGGATATTTTTAATTTCTTATTTAAAAGAATTATTTTTTTAAAAAAATTTTATTTGATTTTCTGAATTAGTTGAATTGGTGAAATTCTGCTGGAAAGCCATTTATATATTGATTTTTTCAATATTATTTATTAAATAGGGCCTGTATTCCCTTAAATCAACAACAAAAAATTAAATACAAACAATAAATTTGGTACTTAGGTACTTAAGGTACTTACTTTTTTGGAATAAAACTTTTCAAATATTTAAATATTTCTTTCTTTCATCTTTAATATAACGACGTAATTTAATAATTAAATTTTATTTTAGCTTGTTTTTTATGTTGAGCTTGTTTAATACAGTAGTAATATTTTTTAAATAAAGAAAACAAAAAAAAGTCGAATTTTTTAATAATCCAGATGAGGTAATTGATTGAACTTGTTTTTAGTAGTATTTTTAACGTTTTATTCAAAAAAGGAAAAGTAAAGAAAAAAAAATCAATTTCTAATTTTAGATTATGAGTCCTTGTTAAAGGTTTAATTTCGTGTAACGATAAATAATACTTTAGATCCTTGTATTATGGAAATTATCACTTATGTACAATTTTATAAGTTTTGTGAACAAAGAGTAATCAAATAATACAGATTCAAATTGTATCAGATAATTTATTTCGGTAAATTTGGCCATAATTTAAAGCGCGCGTAAAAACCAATAACATCAGGAAGTTTTTAGGTGGGTCGGTCCATGTAATTCCACGTGGGTTTGCTCAGAAATACGTGGAATTCCACACATTCCCAATATCCTACATGGATCCACACCGAATTTCGTGGACTTATGCCGAAAATACCACGTGTTTCGTCACAGGGTATTCGGAAAATACTGGAACTATTTAGATTTCCACATATTTCCACAGTATTTAATGTGGATTTCCATGTGGATTTAAACGGAAAAAAATTCCTGATGAAATTGGCTAATATTATAACAACAAAAGTGTAAATGTGATGCAAATAAAAGCTCAAATCATACGAAAAAAGTTTTAGATTGTTTTATATAAAAAAGTTCGAATTTTTTCCGTTACCTATCTAGGACTTCTTAATAATAATAATAGTCGAAACAAAATTTTATTTTTTTTAAACCTTTTTGAATGTCTATTTCCTTGTTTTTTTTTAAAAGAAATAGAAATACATAACAATAATGTAAGAAAAAAATTCCTTATGTAATTTCTATAGTATCATCATCCTTTCTTAATTGATCTTCGGATATTCCAATACTCTTATTTCGATTACATTTGTAGGAGGTTCTTCATGTTTTATATTTTGTCTTTCAGAAAAAGGTATTTTATAATATAGCGCATCAAATGTTCTTCCAATAAGACTAAATATTATCGAAATACCAGCGGATATTAAAGAAAATATAGGAATTGGATCATATATAATACTATTCCGTTGTAAATACATATATCTACAGAATAATTGAATTATTTCAATAAAATTCCGTCGTTGGAATAAATAAATAAATAAATAAAAGATTGCTTACTCTAATTATAAATTGTGGTACATCTTCAATAAAGATGTTTGTAAAACTTCCCAAAATATTTTAACTTCTGCTTCTTTTGATATACTAGGTGCGCAAAAATAACGTAAATTTGCTAATCGTGAACTAATCACATTTAATATGGCGACGTCAGCTGAAGTAAAATTCATAAGCCACTTACTAAATTTTTCATTTGTATATTTTTCTTTTAATATTATTTATGTATAATGCGAGAATTGAATTAAATTCAATTGGTCCAACTAAAAACAAGATGCTTTAAAAATATTAATAGTTACTGTATTTTTGTATTTTTTTCTGATGAAATAAAATCATTATATACTAGTATATTTGAATTCTTGCCTGTGGATTTCGATACCTTACTATAGAGAATATAATTATGCTTCTCCCGAGAAAAAAATTTTGTTATTAATTCATACTCAATTGGTGAGAACAGCGGTAATTGTAATTAACATGACCAAAAAAAATAACATTTATTAAGAAGAATTGACGGTAATTCATGTTTGTATTTCGTTCTTTGTATATAAAATGTGTTTTCAAGTAAAGGACGAGGGCAGAAAAACGAAAGTTATCTTTTTATAAAAAAAATTAAAAATATCATGACGGTTAAAAAAACCATAAAGAAATAATTTTTTTTAAAAAAGATATAAAACAATGAAGAGGAGAAGGAATGAAGAGAAAAATGAAGGAAAGAAATGGATGAAAGATAAAGAGCAAAAGGGAAGATTTCGTTAGAGAAAAGCTAAGTTAAAAAAAGTTTAGATCACTATAGTTATTTTATAATATCACATGTATCACATGATACATAAGGCTTTTCCCGATGTTAAAAATTATCAAATTTATTATAAAAATATGAATAAAATAAATTGGCAGATTCATTGCTAAATAATATTTAATACATCTAAAAAATATCTTAGATTAATTTTCACTACTAATGCTCGATGTTATTTACCACCTATTCACCACCTATTCACCACCTATTTAATAGCATTTTACAACTTGTAAAGATATGTTATCGCGAGATCGTTTGGTATTTTGATACCATGTCGTCACATGTTGGATAATAGATCGTTGTGATTTGATGGGATTTCTCAACTGCATGGTAACAAATCACGGGTTTCTGCAAAGTAGAACAAACTACGAAAATAATTTTTTTTATATTCTTATATTTAGATTTTTTTAGTCCAAATTTCTTATTATCGGATGATTAACCGGCTAACCTGATACTACAGGCATATTACACGAAACGGTGTCAAATTAAAGGTTCTTATAAATAACTAACCTTTAAAAGGTATTTTGTTAATCACATTTTTATTTTATTCTTTTCAAAATAGAAATTAACGGCACAAATCATAAAGAAACAAACAATATCGAAGTTAAAATGAAAAAAAAATGAAATTGAAAAGAATAAAAAGAAATTGAAGAGAATAAAAATGAGATTGAAGGGGAATGAGGTTAATAATTTAAGACTTATGTGATTTTTTTTGTATATATAAAATATTCTATAATTTATAATAATGCAATCAATCACGTCCTGGCGAAGGATCTATGCTAGGTCCCTTTAATGATTTTCCGAAGAATCTATGCTAGGTCCCTTTAATGATTTTCCGAAGAATCTATGCTAGGTATCTTAAACGTAGCCTTAACTTTGCCGTTTTTTTCTTTCGATGGACTTTCGTCTTTTTGAGCATTTTTTCTTTAATGATTAAATTAATAAAATTAATAGATTTCTTTCGTTGATTTTTAAAAAGTAATAATATT